GTTCAGTTCATACTGATAGTATTTGGTTGCAGTTATGCAGGACAGGACATTCAACTGCTGGTCAAGACACCACTCATCATACACCAGTCAGCATACACCACTCATCATACACCACTCGTCATACACCACTCAACATACACCACTCATCATTCATCACTTGTCATACACCCCTCATCATACAAGACTCATCATACATAGTCTCAGAGTTCAAGACAGATTTTACATTCAAATTCGGATTCCATTCAGTCCGATGTGTGATATGCAAGGTTTGCCGCCACTGAAGAATGCCACGGTGGGATGTGTGTCGATGTGGACCGCATCCTTGGCAAGTCGTGGTGGCCGGATGTGTGTCATCTCTCGCAGGGGGCGCACACACCTTACACACGTGGAATCCCGTGGGTCAAAAGTCCGGAGCGCGTGCGTTTGACTGGAGGACGCGCATGTTGGAGAGAACGTGGACACTCCTATAGGTCAATTTCTTCTTATAGGAAACTTCCGCCGCCGGCTTGCCCGGGAACTACTTGTAGTAGTAGTAGGAGTTGTTGTTGTTGTTTTTTGTAAGAGGAAGTAGTTAGTAGTGTTAGTAGTGTTAGGAGTAGCAGTAGTAGTCGTCGTCGCCGTAGTCTAATAGTAAGTAGTAAGTAGTAAGTAGTAAGCAGTAAGCAGAAAGCAGTAAGCAGTAAGTAGTAAGTAGTACGTAGTAAGTAGTAAGAAGAGTAGTGTGGTACTAGTATAGTCGTCGTCGTAGTCGTCGTAGTAGTCGTAGTCGTAGTCGTAGTATTAGTGGTAGTAGTGGTAGCAGTAGCAGTAGCAGTAGTAGTAGTAGCAGTAGTAGTAGTACTACTAGTGGTGTTACTAGTACTAGTACCAGTACTAGTACTAGTAGTAGTCGTCGTAGTATAGTCGTCGTCGTCAGTCGTCAGTCGTCAGTCGAAGTCGTAGTGGTTATAGTGGTAGTGGTCGTGGTCGTGGCAGTGGTCGTGGTCGTGGTAGTGGTCGTGGTCGTGGTCGTGGTCGTGGCAGTGGTAGTGGGCAGCAGCAGCAGCAGCAGACCAGCAGCAGACCAGCAGCAGGGCAGCAGCAGACGAGCAGACAAGCAGACCAGCAGACAAGCAGACAAGCAGCAGCAGCAGGCTAAAAAGCGCACAAACCCAGGCTCCAAAGCGCGCACAGGCTCCTCTTCCTCTATTTGAAGTAAAAACCCAATAGCTCTCACTTTGCGACAACCAGTTTGCAACCTAGCAGCGGCTTTCTTGGATTTCTGGCGCGCACTACGCTGCATGGAAAAGTCACCTTCTGAAAAACATCTCTTAAACACCCGCTGGACGCAACATTGCATCGACTTCCAAAAGCTTATCGCCAAGCTCGGACGCACAATTTATCAAAACGCATCGACTTCGACATCTTGGAGTAGACCCGCTGGCCTCCAGAGATCATCTCTTCCCCGAACTCCATGGCGACTGCCACTCTTCTCTTCGCTTGCTCTCGCGCTCCTCCTGCAACATAGCCATGCCCTCCGCCAAGTCGCCCTCGCGAATCCTCCGCGCCTCTCGATCTGCGGGGGGGCTGATCGTGTAGCGTGGCTACCCTAGTCAGCGTCCAGCCCAACCTGACCAGGACACCGACTTCGAAGACCGCCAAGCCGGCCTCCGCGCGCCATACTTGCTCAGGCCCCCCGTCCGTGCTGCCCATTGCGCGGCGCAGCTAGATCCCCCTTCTAGCTAAAACAAGAGGGGTACCTCGAGCCACGCACGGCGGTCGTTGTCATTACGTGACAAACCTCAGCGTGCCGCCGATTATTCGTATATATGCAGTATATGTCATTTGTGTGTGTGTCTCCTTCTCGCTCTCGCTCTCTCTCTCTCTCTCTCTCTGTTGAGTGTCTGAATCTGATTGTTGGATTGCAAAGCTGAAGTGGCCTCCGCTAAGCCTCCTGCAAGGAGCGACAAAATCAAAGTGATGGCAGCTGCAACTCTCAGATTCAATTGCACAGCTTCCTTGATCGTACTTTGGCCGACGTAGCCAGGCTGCAGCATTTCTTGGTTTTGCCGCTGCTTTTCTTTTCGGCTGGCTTGGAGCCAGTCTGGCCTGCAGCGAGGTATATAGTTCAAAAGTAATTCTCAAGAGCCGACCGGGAGCGCCACATCCAAGAAGGGACATCACAGAACCGTTGGGGTCTGGTTGGATGTTCAAGTTGGAGCACCGCTGGCTGGGGAGTTGCGTGGCAACAAAGGAGACTGGAACAGCAGATTCATGCAAATCGGCATTGCGCCTTCAAACCTTGAGATGTTGTCCCCTTTAACATTCCTACAGTATCCTAACGCTGCGGAATATGGAAAGGAGCGAAAGCAACGTTTCAGAATCGGCGCCTGCGGTGCAGGAGGCTTCCGTCGCCATGGTGGCAGCTTCACGACCCCAAGAAGGGGGTCACCCTGCAATGACAGCTGAACTAACAGTGTGCAGTCAGAATGCCTCAGAGCTAGAAGCATCCAACAAAATGTGCAATACGCCTAGAAGCTCAAAACTCGAAACACCCTCTCGGTTTTCCTCGGAGCTTCAGGAGTAGTTCTTCACCTTGCTCTTTGGCAAGAACACCATGCCACGGCGTTCTTTGGCTCCTGCTCCCAACGTTAGGATATCACTGGCTTTTCGCCGCTTCTTTTGAATGCGGGCCTGCTCCTTTTGTTGCATGGCAGCATCTCCATTGAAGCCACGGCGTTGCTTTACAGCCGAGAGAGAAACACCAAGGGTTTTTTCTTCTTGCAGGCGACGCTGTCTAGCAGCCTCCTCAACTTTCTGGCGTCTTTGCAATGCTGCATATGGCTCGAAGGGTCTCTTCTCCAATGTACCACCTAACGCACGGATCTTCGCTCGTTCATACTGGCGGCGTTCTGATTTTCCAAGCTGAGGGACCACAAAATTCAGCACATCCTTCAAAGTCTTCTTGAACTCGGCAGAGTCCTCGGTCTCACCGGTTTGCTTTCGCTTCTTTGCTGGAGGCTGGGGTTTTGCGCGGATGTCTGCCACTTTGTCCGACATGAACCGCCTCTTCTCGGATGAGAAAGATTTGCCAGGAATGTGAAGGACACGAGCTGCCGGACGAGAGGAATTTGAGTCTTGCGAGGGTTGAAGCTTTGCTCCACTTGGGCTTCTTGGCATTTCCGCCAGAGCAACAGGCTCAAGGTTTGCCTCAACACTCTTCTCTCTCTCAGTACTGTGGAGCGCCTTTATCCTGGCTGTCTTTTTCTTGGCAGGGGCTACCTTTGGCTCCGGGCTTTCCTGTGTGCTTTTCGCATTGGAAGGAGTGGAAGCCTTTCCAGGAATCTGAAGCACATGCGCTGGCCGCAAAGGTGCTGTAAGCTTTGCCCTGCGCTTTGCCTTGCCCATCACTCGCAAGGACACCGAAGAGCTGTAAACTGTCTGTTCTTAGTCTGAATTCATGCTACAGGCTGCTGTTTCAAACGTGTCAGGTAACTGAACTTGTGATGACTTCAAAAGTGTGCAATGGGGCTTGAAAGCACAAAATCAATTTGCTGGACTTGAAAGCCTGCAGGAAAAGGCTTGCAAGCTTGAAAGTTTCAATCTTTGAACGGCACTCCAAGTAATGTCTCAAGTCTCAAGTGTCTCTCGACAAAATACGCGAAGTCGTTGATTCTCAATGACGGCTTTCATTTCCTAATGCCAGGTCCAGTGAAGCCCTGCCTGTGGCCGCCATTCCACGGCATCCACCTTTCCATCCTCTGCAGCCTGAGTAGGTTGGGGCCAAAAAGTCTAGCATCCTGCACAAGTTAGACGTAGCCCTCAGGAGGACCAGACAGGTCACTAGGGTCGAGACTGCCTTTCTCGCAGCTTTCCGGAACACCTGTTTGGGTGGACGGTGGACCCTAAGTGAACATAAAGAAAACAAGAAAACGAGATGAAACAAAGAAGGTAGGGCCCCCCTTGAAAGGCGCCTTACTTTCCTTGTTCCTCTCTGAGTTTCTTCCTGTATCTGGAAGGTCTGGAAGCTGGAGCCTTAAACACACGTTGCACTCTGTTGGGCCTTCTCCATTTCCACGTGCGGCGCAGGCTGTTCGGAGAAGGGGTCATAGTCCTTCAGTCAAGAACCCAAAATGCATCACTGAAGCTGCACCTTGAAGCGTGGAAGTATCTCTTTTGAGCATGGACTCAATGCCGGGTTGACCCTCAGCTCCTCATCTTTTGCTTTGGCCTCTGTTCCAGCAGGATTCAATTTGCACTTTGGACAGCTTGGACATCTGCTGTCTGGCTGAGTGCCTCTTGCTCGCATCGCACAAACGCTTCTTCGTGCAATGCCTTGAAGCTACATCCTTGTCGTGACTGGATCGCCAGTCAATGCCCACTGGAAGCATCAGGAATTCTGGGAGTTCGGCAACATGCGCACTCTCAGAAACAAGAAAGTTATCTTTCTTAACAGTTCGTGGGACAGTGAATGACAGTGACAATTGAGAGTACATTGCTGCTTGAGAAACACCCAAGATCTACAAAACAGCCCCTTCTTGCACGGGGCATTCTACTGATCGTTTGTCTACCAAAAAACCATACTACCAATCCATTTTGCATGGATGGCCACAAAACTCGCAGGACCCTCCTGCAAACTATCTGCACTATCTAAATCTAATCGAATTAGCTCGTAAGCGGCTTCTCGCGGCTCTGGAGGCATGAATTTACCGAGCTATGCACAAATAGGATTGGAAGTGGAAACTGTCCAAACCAAATAAGAAGCACCTGCAGCAGTAGAGCAGGCAGCCCAACGCAAAAAGCAAAGAGTCGCTCAACTCGTGTGTCATGTTTGGTAAACACTGTCTTGGGGAACAGTTTGTGCCTCCATGATTCCCATAAACAGTTCCTCACTTCTCTCTGGAGTCGTGATCAAAGAGTGAGAGTGCGCTTGGAAGGAACATCACACGAAGAAAAGCTAGAGCAAAACAGAAAAGAGATCAAAAGAGAATCTTGCCGCCTCTGCTCCAGCCGTAGGTCTTCTATGCCCAGGGAAATGTCCAATCACCAGGATCTTGGCCGCAACGACAGGCTACTGACCAGAAGGAGCAGAATTAGACTGAGGCTCCGACTCCCGTAACCAAGTCCAGTAGGAAAGGTCAAGGGATATTGCATCTGAGATGCCCATGGCTTGCCAGCTTCCTGAGGCTTGGCAGCCTTGGCATTCTTATTCTCAGAACCCAAGCGCAGGATGCGAAGCTTCACCAACATGCGTTTGCATTCCTCCATCATGGCTTCCGGGTCAGACTCCTCATTCACAGAGATCACAAGATCTCCAGGCCTCAAAATGCGATCAAGCGTGCCGCTGCTGCACTGGCGATTCCAGGATTCTGCTGCACCTGACTGCACGCTGTCGATGCGCAACACCTCTCCCTTCCTGCTGAAGCGAAGACCCAGGTCACCATCATCTGCCACGCGCAGAGTGAGCTTGAAGACAAAAGCATCTGGTTCTTCATCTTCTGTCTCTTCCACTTGTTGTTTTGGAGCAATACCAAGTGCATCGGCCAGCGACACTGCTGTAGGTGCCCAGGATTGAGATGCATTTGGAAAAGGGCCATTCAGGAAAGGGCCGTTGTAGACGCCAAACGGGTATGTGAAGGGTGGAATCTCCGGCATTGAAGTAGTGCTGTTCGCTATTTTTCCGGTCACCGGACTTCCATTAGAGCTAGCAGCAGAGCCCGTGGAGGTCTCAGAAGTAGCGGTGGATGGGGTGCTGCCACCGGATGCGTTCATGGGCATGTCCTGGGCAAATCATGTCCAAGCAAAATGGTTCCAAAACCGCAAGGTCTCTGTTCCACGTGGTTCCCTGACACAAATGGTGAGCCTGAAGCTTTTCATCAGGGCAAAGTGGCAACTGTGCAGTCCTGAGCTTCCGACCACCACCATAACCCCCACCACAACGACTGCTACCGCGACTCCTACTTCTGCTTATACTCGTGCTGCTGCATCTAGGTAAATCCCGTTGGGCAAAAGCTTCAATATGTACTATGTATGATATATTATAGAAAATATGTTTGTTGGGTGATGTTTGATGTCACGATGTGGCGCGCAATGTCTCGGAATGCGCCGGCGTTAAATAAGTTCAACAGGTGTTCGTGATGTTGGAGAGTGTGATGTCTTGATGATGTTTTGTGGCACGATGGCGTGACTTGATGTTCTCATTGGGGCTTGTTGATGTGACGCGATGCGATGTGATGTGACATGATATGACGCGATGTTGTGGCTGTTGTTATGTTGTCATTCAAGTTCGTTTAAGTGGTGTGATGTTGCGTTTTCCTTCACGTATGCTGTGTACTTCAGTGCGATTTTACAATGCTGCCGCAAATACTGTGTGCGCCAAACACTCGATGATCTACTTTTGTACATATCTAGTACTCTATTTTATTTGCTGACATGCTGGGGAAAGCACCATGAGCTTAGCATCGTCATCAAGGCTTGGTTCTCGGCCTGCAGTCCGGGCAAAGGCAAAACCATCAAGGCATCACTTCTTTCGAGTATCTGTGCAAAAATCTCATGTGCATGTCTGTGGAGGTGTCAAGCCAGTCGAGGTTGCAAAAGGCTGCCTGACTCACAAATACTGCAAACGCACCTGCATCAACTGCTGCTTTTGTGTCAAGCTCTTCGCCTGCAAGCAAATCTATGCAGACTCACTTTGCAGGCAAGCGGTTTCAGCCTCTTCAAGAAGTTGGTTCATTGACCGCTCCTGCTCACGCTCTTGCTTTTTCACCTTCCAAAGAGCAAAGAAATCTGTGACTTCAATGCGCACTAAAGCACAGTGCATCTAAATCTTTTGCTGTAAATGTATTTCTTACGTTATTGAGTTGAGTAAGGCAAATAATTAGCCGCTTCCAGTAGTTGTCCGACAAGACCTCTGATGCGGCTTGTGAGCAGAGCTGGCGGAGCCTGAGGAGGGCCCCCAGAAAAAAACCAAGAGCCATGCTGAGGCTATGCAAATCGATTCCAGACATGCTACTACCGCTAAAACTTGCTGAATGATGTCCTGGAAGCAAAAGGATACTTTCGAAGCATTATTTATATAAACATACAGCATTCTTCCCAGTTGTCAAGCAGGGTTGCGGTGACCGGATGGCCACAGAGAGAGAGAGAGAGAGAGAGAAAGAGAAGAAAAAAGAATAGAGAGAGAGAGAGAGTGAGTGAGTGAGTGAGTGAGTGAGAGAGAGAGAGAGTGAGTGAGAGTGCCTTGCACATCTTTCCACATTGCAAGTGTGGCAAGCAACAAGCCTGTCATCAATGCGGGACTCGGCCTGGACAGCATCGAAACCCTTCAAATTGCATAAGAGTGGTCATGCACATCACTTGGCGGCAGCACCTGGCCTGCTCCATGACTGCGGCACGCACTTCATGAAGCAAATTAAATGCGTGATTGACCTTCTCAGTGTCCTGCAGTACACATTGTGCTCTTGTGTAATTCAGTGCACAATTTCCCCATTGAATGTCCTGGCTGCAGTGACCTCAGCAAAAGCAGTCGTTGCACTGCTAAAGATTCCCGGGTGTTGAAACACAGCGACGTGCAAACGTGGGAATGTGCAACAGAACAGAGGCCTTTTGAAATTCTTCTTCAGAATTTGAAAGAGTCATCTCGACACTACCAACTCTGCCACGTGTAGGAATTCTACACTGCAGACTAGGCTCGCAACAGCTTTGCTTGTTGCCAAGCTGAAAATGAATATTTGCTGATGAAGGAAGCGTTGTCCGGCAGATTCATGTTCAAGGTTAGAGTAGTGCACAGAGATCGCATTGTCCATAGGATGTGGTGTAAATACATGTATCATCATGTATCTAATGTTCATCTCGCGAAGGTACTCTAAGGCTCTGAGGTGTGTGTGTGTGTTTGCATGAAAACAGGAGTAGTCGCTTCCGAAAGGTCATGCAGGGTGTCGAAACCTCCTTCTTGCCACAGGCTGCCGAGTCGGCGGGCCTGTGGGGGCACAAGGCATCAAAGGAGGTGTTGGAACCCGTCCTCTCAGCTCTGGTTCTGGCTCTGGACTTTGAGGCTCACTTGGTTCACGAAGATAGCCTTTGGAAGGGCTCGTTATCGCAGTTTCAACGGGCTCCGTATCTCTGGAACGGCAGGTCCCACAATCTGCCTTTTGCGTTGGCTCAGAGCGTTGAAAGAGCTGTGTAACAAACCACGATGCTTCATCATCAATTAGGGTGTTCAGCACAGTGTCTTCTGAGGAACGTCGCAAGAGTAATGAATTGCCATCACTAGCCACAGTATAGGTTGTCTGAAGCACGCTTCTAGACCCGTCCACTGGTCTTGTGACGATATGCAGTTCTCGGTCCGTCAGCCATGCTCTCGTGCTAAATCTGCCATCAGTGCGCTCCGCTCCGTCTGCCACCACCTGCTCTTCCGAGACGCCAAAGCCATGATCTCTAAGATGCAGAAGCGTGAACATGGGCACTGTACCCGGCATTTCTACGATGCATACCTCACGGATCTCTGCAAAAATATGTAGGCGCCGCAAGATCCATGGAACGCCCTGTGCTTTCAGAAAACGCTCCAAGTGTCGGGGTTCAGACTGCTGCAATTTCCAAATCCCACCAAAGATCCCGCCTGAAGCGAGAGCCTCAGACTGCAGCTGTGGTGCAGAAGCGCGAGCAATCATTTGTGCTGCAAATGATTCATAGTCCAAAGATTGCAGCAAAGGCAAGGACCACAAAGACTTGCCTAAGGATTCATGCAATGTTTGTGCAACTTCTTCGGCCGTTGCGCTTCTCTCTTGCAGAAATTCCTCCATGTGCTGCTCTGCAAGTTCGATATATTCTTTATGTAGAAGGGTCCACTCCAACTTCTGCTCCTCCAAAAGGTTTCCGCCTTTAAAGAGCAGCGACTTGTTCTCCATAAATCCTTCTAATTTGGACTGCAGACCTGAAGCACGAACCATAAAGGCACAAAACTCCCGCGCGAGAGCTGACATCACATCGGATTCTCTGGATGAATCTTTCATCCGCCACACACATTGGATTCCAGATGCTGGGGCAGGGTCAGAAGCAAACACAAAGCTCGAGCCGAAGCAATCAAGCGGTTGGTCGTGTTGGCTACAAACATACAGAAACATTAGCTGTCCCTACACGACCTGATCTGGCATTCAGCTTGGAAAAGGCTCAAGCCAAAATCCATGTTTGAGACCTCAGCCGACCAAGAAATGTTGTGGCTTGGTTAACGGAGTATGACATGCCTTGCACCTGACTGTGCGAGATCACCTAATGCAGCCCAGGCACAATCACAGGCTGTGAGGCACACAGTTCGCCGAGCCCCTGAATACACCCTTGAGCCACCAGACACGCAACGTGAGGGTTGCACACAAACTTTGGCTGTTGGTGTTCTGCCTGAACAAGCATACAGGCCTGGGAAACTCTTGCAAACGTAAATAGTGACTTGACAAGTCAAGCTGCTTCCGTTCTTCTTGGCTTCTCCTAGGTCTGCTGCCTTCGGCATTGGGCCACCTCTCCACGGTGGCATAGCAAAGGCCTAAACTCTGAGTCAAGACGTGCTCAAGAGTGCTTCGATAGGAGAGTGATCCAAGCTAAGTAGCCTTCCCCGCGAAAATTGCCACATTACCCCGCGCGAATGCCGCAGCCTGCAAATAACACAGATATAGAGAGAGAGAGAGGGTAAGGGCAAAGCAGACTGATGTTGACCGGCTTTCTGATGACTTCAGTGTTGTGAAACACAGTTGACGCTCCGGACACCTTGGAGAAGGCTTTCTGAATAAAGCGTCGCGCTGTGGCTCCAACCTGTGACTTTCTGAAAAAGCTGGAAAGGTCTAAAAACAAAAACCAATCAGGCGAAACATTACTCCAGGAAAACACGTTCTAAAGAAGAAAAAGCACAAACAGAGCTTTGATATGCTTTGATTGTCAAGCTATGTCTGATCTGTCTGGCTTGCAGAAATCAAGCTTTGGTCCTACCTACCTTACCTGGGCACATCAAAACTGAGAAGTTGGGTGAAAGCTTTATTCGGAAACTAAAAGGTGATCTTACAAAACTTTACGGTTTTCTTCGGAAACGAATCTTCAGAACTAAACGGTGTTCTTCGGAAACTAAACTTCGGCAACTAAAAGGTGATCTTCGGAAACTTTACGGTTCTTCTTCGGAAACTATTCTTGGAACTAGACGGCGTTAACATTTTTCCTCGGAAGAACACTTTCCGCAGCTGCAATTGCAAGATATTTCCTGAAGATTGCAAAATAGTTTCTGAAGATCGCGAAAAAGTTTCTGAAGAATAGTTTCTGAAGAGTAGTTGCGAAAGAGTACCAAATAGTTGCGGAAGAAAAGTTTCAGAAGAATGAAGAGTTACGGAATATGACTTTGTTCGAGAAAGTTGCACATTGCATCAGTTGCCTTGTCTCACTTTGCTTCATATTGTTCCATGTTGCTTCAAACTCCACTTGAGAGCATTGATTTGCACCTTGGGTTGGAGGCCATCGCTCAGGTTGGAGGCCATCGCTCTTAGGTTGGAGGCCATTGATATTATGGTATTTCCTTTTATTTTCTTCCTCCCACCTTGGGTTGAGCCATCGCTGCCGCCTTGGAGGTGGCACGTGTCCTCCACGCCGCCGCTTTGGACGTGGCTGCCTTGGCCATCAAAGCTCTCTTCGATGAGGCCATCGAGAAGGCCTCAGCAGGCAGGGCACACCAGCAGCACAACTCTTGTTCGAGATGATCTACTGAATATTATACGTATAGTGTTGGATGGAATTGTCCAGTGGTAGTACGATCTGATGAGTTCTTCTCTGCGTTTGCGTCACCTGCGATGATGACAAAGATGGCTGAGGTAAAGGTCGCCATTCTCTCTCTCTCTCTCTCTCTCGCTCTCCTCTCGCTCTCCCTCCCTCCCTCCCTCCCTCCCTCCCTCCCTTCTCTCTCTCTCTCTAATCTAATCTAATCTAATCTAAATCTAAATCTAAATCTAAATCTAATCTAATCTAGCCTAGCCTAACCTAACCTAACCAATCTATCTATCTATCTATCTGTCTATCTATCTCCCCGTCTCTTCATGGATTGGGATCTATTGGCACGAGCAGGTGACCCTTGTTGAATACATGTCCACGAGAAGGCAGCTTGAAATATGAGCGACTTTGGAAGGCTCTCATGAAGACGTTTGGTGGCGATTACCAAATGCCAAGGATTTGAGGAGCAGTGGAAAGATGAGACTCTCTTTGAGGAAGAGTTGGAGTCGAACTTTACGAAGTCAGAGATGATTGTGAATGATAGTAGGATAAAGCCTTTAAAGGGAGCAAGATGAGAACACTCAGCAGAGATGAACGAAACCTTTGACCAAGTGGGCAAGGCCTACATCAACTATTGGGAAAGTCGGTGCTGGATTGACCACTAGCTGGCACTAGCTTTGTCAACAGGATTCGTCCCTGTCCTTGCCATCCCTCCTCAAAACAATCGAAGAATCTGAGCATGTCAAAACCTGAACTCTCCTGCCGTCTTCTCAAAAAAGTTGGTTTTTGCAAGAAGAAGCCCCCAAAGCACAAACTGTTTCCCTCTAGAAGCAGTCGCTGACAACTGGAAGGCCTGCCTTGGATTCAGCCTTCATCAGCACCTCCAAAGTCAAGGACAAAGATTCACGAACTCCCACACACTGGAGGCCATCGCTTTTAGGTTGGAGGCCATTGCTATTAGGTTGGCAAACCTTGTCCACCGGAACACCATGATCTGAGCGAAGTGCAGCACACGTAAACCAGCAACGCGGCCTCCTGATGCTTCCGCCTTGGTTTGGTTGGCAGACTTCTTCAACTGACATTGGGCAACGTAGGTGTGCCGTTTTGCCAAGTCACTTGAGGCTTTTGGGCATCGCCTTCATCATTGGGGGGGCCTTGTGATCCACAGCTCTTCAAAATGGTTTTGAAGAAAAATGCGTTCTCTCACCGCATCTCATTCCAAGCACGAAGCACGGGTGAAACATTCCAAACCTAGACCTAGGCTTTATCTTGGCTTCTATTTGTACAAGGGAAGAATCTTGCCCTGCATTCACCTTTCGATTTTAATACAGCTGGGCAGAGCACCTCTGTGCCTTTCCCTTTCCCTTTGCCTTTGCCTTTGCGTGCAACTGCCTGCAAAGACTTCAATGAAGTCTCATCTAGCCTTTGGGTTCTTTGCCACTTTGCAGCATTCAACATAAAAACAATTGAAGCTGAGCTTGAGCCTTCTCGAGCGACTTCGGCGGTGCCTTCGGCGGTGCCTTTGGCGGTGCCTTCGGCGGTGCTCTTGGCGGCGCCTTTACCGGAGGAGCCTCTGGCAAGCGCAGCACCATTTGCGGGTCTGTATTTGGCTGGTTGCGGCAGATTTACTTTTAATCTTCATGCTACTGCTATTGACAACCTTTGTTTCACGTGTTCCATCTTGACCTCAACCCCAAGCATACGGACGGTTGCTTGGAAGTTCAACAAGCTTTTTAGCTGTCGCGGCAGTTGCTTCTGCAACACTCAAGCTACTTACTTGGATTCGCCAAGCCAATCCTCAGCAGTCTCCAACAAGTTTGACTTATTATCTGTCGCTGTTGAGAGGCAGAAAAGCTTCTTCTTTCCGACAGCTTTGGATATGTGCTGTGAGAGCAGGGTGTGAGAACAGGCTCAGCTGCTCGGCTGCTCAGCTTCGTTCGGCCACCAGCGTCTTCAAGACGACCCGATGACTCGTCACTAAAGGAGGTCGACCAAATCTGCATTTCCTCCGCCACTTTGCCTGCCATGAAGAACGGCACCGTTGAGGTGAATCGAAAGATAAATCAAATCACCCAAAGAAGTTTATATATATATATATGGAGTGTCTTGCGATTTGGAGCACAAAGTTTCTTCTTGCACACTGCAAGAAATGTGCCGGCAGTGCTCCGGAGCTGGAGGCTCTCCGCCAGCAGATTCCTTACTCACGATCTCTTGAAGTGTCTTGAACGTCAAAACTGTGTCTTTCTTACGTTCTCACTGCATCTGTTGCTTTAGTTGGGATTTGGACCGGAGGTGGTGCTGCTGCATCAGGCACCTTGGAATCCGTTTTCTCTGTTGCTTGTGTTGATCCAACATCTGGCCCAAGGCAGCTAAGGTCTGAACCAGCAATTCAGGAGAGGATGACTCAACGACGGTTTCAGGTGCCGATGATCTGTCAAGGCAAGCGCCGCAAATGACTCTCTTGCAAAAGAAAACTCCCAAGACTTGATATGTTTTACTTTATTGAAGATTGCTTCATGTCACCCCACAGCAATACAGGCCAATGTAGCTGAGCAAGAGGAGCTGCGGGCTCTGGCCTGACACTGCACTCAGCTTTCGTTAAAGAGAGAAATTATACCAGCATAGACCCCAAACAGTGTCAGCATTTGTTGGGCGTCGGCGTCAACTCCATGAATTCCAATGTTGGTGGAAACACCTACAAGTATACCATTCTATAGCCTCCAGCTGTTTGGGAACTGCACCTAAACAATAAATGGTTGAAAACACTAGTTTCTGATGCCCGTGTCACATGTGCAAAAACGATGGGATATCGGATGTATGTCATGCGAAAATCCGAGGGTGATATCACATTTCAAACGCTGTATCACTGATGAATTCACAGCCACACGAAAACATACCCAGACAAGGCGATGGAGAAAGACAAAGTTGCTTAGCCAAGCCGGGGACAAGGCCCGGACAAGGCGGTGATAAAGGAGCCAACAACGTGGACAAGCAGGACAGGCAGACGTGGACAAAGGACAAGAGGTTTTTTTTGTTTCCATCGCAGCATCGAATCGACGCCCGCGGGGCAGCGTCTCTTAAGGACGGCCATTGGCTGGGCCCGCTCCTTCGTTTGGAGCACAAAACGGCCTAAGCTGGCCAGCTCGCATCAAGCTGGGCCAGGAACTCTCCTAGTCCTAGGTCAAGGGCATCAGATTCGTCTGTTTCAGCCCTGACCTCATCCTCTCTCACTCGGTTGCCACGCTGCAGCGCTCAGCGCCAAAAGCTGCAGCGCTGTCGCCAGCCGCGGCGTACAGCTCAGGATCTCGCGCCTCTTGAAGCGCTTCGCTCAGGGCCGTGTTGTCCGCCAAGGCCCATTGGACGCTCACTCGGTCGGCCGCAAGTGCAGGTCAAAGATGGATCCCATGGGCTCCAGCTCCCTGGCATGGAAGGCAATGGCCAGGGCAATCGCCGCCAGCATCTGACAGCGGTGGGGCAGTGGGCGCACTGGTCCCTGCTCAAGGTTCAGGGAACCAGTGCACCAAACACACGGGAGAACCTCGTCTGTCCACTGCGGCCAGGTCACCTGCATATGTTGCATGCCAAGGTGCCAAAGATCCCAGTGACAGGCCTGGGCATGCTCCTCAAAGATGTCGACGCTCATGAGCGGAATGCCACAAACAGGGCAGGTCGTCCGCAGCAGGCGCGACAAGAGCGAGTCCTGGGCCTGGAAGACTCCATAGTTGGCCTGAGCATAGCACCGGACAGCATGGGTGAGTTCATCCTTCCTAAGCGCTGAAGGTGTCGAAGCCGGTGGGCAGGTGAGGTACCTGGTGGCATCAACTAGCCAAACTAGCAGGACATCCTGGTCGGGTTCACGATGGAGGGCATGGTCTTGACGGGCTTCCCAGTTGTCCTGAAAGGAAACCCAGCCATTGTGTCCATGGCAGCATGCTCGATAGTGTCCAGCCTCGTGTGAACCTGAGTGTACGATCATGCTGGAGACCTGATAGGCCACATGTTCAATGGCCAGATCCCCAGCCTCTCGAAAGCGAGGGAGCCAGATGACTCCGTTCGGCGGCAGCTGGAGGCTCCACTGAGCTTTGGCAGCCTCACCTTGGGGCAAGAATTGCGACTTTTCAATGTAGAGAACCACACATGTTTGTGCTCTGAGCAGGGCAGTGATCATGCCATACTGTGTGCCCCATTCATCCACACATGCCTGCAAATCCAGCGTCTTTTCAGCAGGGGCGGCTGGCGTCAAAATGATGGGACCAAGTTTCCCCCCTTGGTCATGACACTTGAGCTGCGCAGCCTCATCAAATCTACGTTCCCAGGTGTTGTCCACAAGGCGTGGTTGACACCAACCCAAAAAGTGGCCGGTGAAGGAAAGCAGTTCTTGTTGCCCTTCACACTGCCAACCAGTCAGCAGGGCCCTTGTAGCTCGATCCCGGAGCAGGTCCAGTGAGTTGCTAGCCCGACTGCAGAGGGATTGAAACATCTCTGTTCCAGTGCCAAGGTCCTGCCAATGCAAGCCACGACATTGAAGGTGCCCACAGAAAGGAGACCACAGTGGCATTGAGTCAACAAGCATTCTGCTGATTGATGAGCTTCCATCCCATCACTGTGGCCAATCCCTGGTCTAGGTAGAGCGGCCACCTCGTCCCTGCCCTTTGAGGATCTGACTGACCAACTGTGTCGGGCGGACCATGTGTTGGCGAAGTCTGGCCTCCACGAGCATCCATACTGAGCTGTTGCTCAGCCACGACAGGGTGTCGTACAGGTGGTTGTCTCTCAGGCTGACCTGGATCAGAAAGGGGATCACGGTCTTCTTGGAGGCGCTTGGAGACTTTTGAACCGCAGGAGGAGAGCCGGGTTCTTCATGCTCCAGGGCTTCGGAAAGGTCGAGACTCAAACACAGTCCCCCCCTGTGCGACGCGGTGCCTCACCCGCGCGTCTCTGCCAGAGGTTTTTCATGGCACTCTGGCTCCTGGCACGTACAAGGCGGCAGTGGTGGAAGACCGCTATTAAGGCATCATTGGTGGACCGACGAGGTAAATAGCCTAGCAGCGGTGCTCTACAAAGACTGGGCATGACATGTGGGCGGACCTTCTGGATCAAGGTTTGAAGCGCGCACTTGCCCAAGACGTCGGTCAGAGCAATGGGCCTGACGTCTTTTGGGGTGTGCACTGCACGTTTGGCAATCAACGTGAGCCAGGCCGCCTGCCCGTGACCTTACGGTGACACCACATGCGGACCAAATCTGGGCAAGTTCTGTCGCTAGGCATCTGACCACAGCAGGTTGCAGTGAGCCAGGGGCCACTGCCTTGGTCAAGGGAACTCTGGCCAAATGATGTCGGAGGTCCGCAACCGTGAATGGCATGCATGACAGACGGACTGAGGGACTAGGCAGCTGAGGGGTGGACCCACAATAGACGGTCTCGAAATGCCGTCGAAGGAGGTCCAGTTCGACCTCAGGGCTCTGGGCAAGCCCCGTTGCAGAGCGAAATCTAATGGGTCTAGTCGGCTGCTTAGGACTAAGTTCACGGACTATCAGGTGGAGTTGACGTTGATCATGCGCGCGGTCCGCCTGAGCCGCCCGGGTCATCTGCTCTTGGAATCGATCCTGTTTCTGTTTCCGAGCATGGACCATCATGGCTTTGTGCAATCTACTGTGCTTGGTGGCATGAAACCATGCGTGAAAACTGGAACGAAGGTCGGTAACCACCAAGCGCCTGAGCTGGTGGTAATGATGCCACATTGTAGCGGCAAACCGGTGACTTTCAGGGTGTTTCCAATCCGGTGCGGCTCGAGTGGATGGACAGGCAGGTTGCCAATAGTCTTGGGACCAATGACTGAGCTGCTCTATAGATCGGACCAGGTCGGGCAGTCAATGTGCAGCCGAGCCTGGGCTTGAGGGACGAACTCCTGCCAGGCTTCATCTTGTGCACGGCAGTGCAACTGCAGGTCCTGGCGTTGGGTCTAGGTCCGTCTCATGAGAACATGGTCTATCGTCGACGTGCCGCCCGGACCTTCAAAGGTGTGGGCATTGTCATAGGGCCGAACCGTGGCAAGTGTGTGCTTGCGGCAGAGTTCACGAAGCTCCCAAGCATCCTGCGGTTCAGGGGTGTGTCTATGAAGTTCCGTGTTGAAATCTCCAGCAACCACAAGAACATTCCTGATTGGAAGATGTGTGAGGATAGTGTCCAGAGAGGACCAAACCTCAGCTCTACTTTCAAATGGTTTGGCTCTTGTGGAGGTGACTTCAGTCGTATACTGATAGACCTGGACTAATTCGAGAGTCGTCTGGGCAAGCCGGCACTTGACGTGTTGCACTCTGCCAGGAACGGGCGAGGAACTTCAAATGTCCTGTTGGCCACACAATCTATGGTGGATCAGGGTCAACAAGCCATCATGATCTCTACGGTCCTCCGTCCCTGCAGAGAGGGCCCAATACCCATACGTGCTCCAGTCTTTGGTCATGTTCCAGCGAGTCCCCTGAACGCATGCAATGTCAACTGCATGATGACTTAGGTACTGCATGAGCTCTTGCCAAGTGGCGCTGGTGAGCCCTCCGGCGTTCCAGGAAAGGAAGGAGCAACGAGGTCCTCCAACCTTCTTGCGCCGGTCAGCAGCCCGGTCCAGGAAGGGAAAGGTCGTCCATGTTGAAGGCTGCATAGAGCCACAGGTCATAGAGGAGGGCATAGGTCCGGCCAGTGTTGGAGTCAGGTTGTGCGGCTGCGGGGAGGTCATCAACAAGCGGCCTTTATACGAAGTGCAGCCATCTCTCAGCAGGCGGTGCACCGCTTTCCTATAGCTCTTCTTCGTGCTCCAGGTTGAGCTGAGCCCTTTCGCACCGATGGGGCCTACTTTTTGCCCTATCCCACGATTCTTTTGGAGGGAGCTTGGGGGAACGTGTCCTACCTGGTCTCCTCCTTCCTTCGTCGTGGACCGAAGGAAACCCTCACCTCTCATGGACCAAAAACTTTGCGAGTACACTCCAAGGTGCTGAGGTCCATGCCCGGACTTGGGACCGGGATGCTCGCCCATCAGCCAGTAGGCCGCTAGCTGCAGCAGCAAGAACGTGCCAGCTGCCACCATGCAAAAACGGCGCGGTCTTCGAACAGCAAGGAGCGGTGCCCCGCTAATGGGGGGCTGGCTTTATGGCCATCTCGAGCATAGAGGCTTGAGGACAGCACGAGGACACACAGGGTTCGCCAGCACAGCCAATGGACGGTAGCAGCAGGACAACGGGAGGACAAAATACAAGAAGACAAGAAGAGGACAACAGGAGGACAAGACCCGGACACAAAGCCCGGACACAGAGTTCAGGCGTGCGGCCAGCCAGTGTGGCCAGCTCTTTTTTCCTAAGAGAGAACCCCAACAGGAAACGGTTGGCAGTTGCTTCAATAAGTCCTTTTTTTGATAAAATCTAGGAACCAAATGAATAGTGCGAGCGCTTCTTCAAGGAAGCTCCCCCCCGCCACTTCCTTTCTCGTCCTGCTCTACTAGCCTTACTTACAGTAATTAAGACGCCTACTCAATTAAGTAATAGGGGAGCAGAATGGGCAAAAAAATAGAACTGAGGCTGCTGCGTCAACAAGTCAATCTGCGGTGTCGGCTGTTCCGGCGCTGGTGTTGGCTCCGCAGGCACTGGAGCAGACTGCACAGGCTGCACGGGCTGCACAGGCTGCACGGGCTGTACGGGCTGCACAGGCTGCACGGGCTGCACTGGTTTGTCTCCACTTCCACCTGCACAAGTTGATGGGAGATCGTATGAAATCATCCACAACACTTAAACTCGAACCCTTCGAATGTGGTGCAGCAACCGCAGTGCAGGAACAAAGAAAACCTATCACTGAATTGCTGTCAACTGTTCTCCAAGAAAGCTGCCAGTCTGTATGTTTCACATTGTCTCACCAGAACACGTCCATCCATCAAGCAGTTCATTACTATATATATATATATACACATATTCTTTTTAATGAGTAGTGCAAAACTCCAAAATGTGTGGACCATCTCAGCACCTTTGAGAATCAAGCTCTGGAAGCCGTCAATGCCTTGTTTGCGCTTCACTTTGCATGAGGAATGTTTTATTCCAAAGCCACGGAATATGGACCCAAACAAACTCAGACTGGCTTTCCAAAGTAGAGAATGGATATCGTTGTGAATCTGGCCCATCTTTTTGATCTCCTCTACGACATCCATCTCCAAAATCTCCTTTTCCTTGGCATCAGGTGTCTGGCGCAGCATCGCTAGACTGTCCCAAATCGACACAACTGGGGCACATTCTGCTTCAAGCAACATACTTTCTGAGAAGGTATCCGTTCCATATGCTGAAGCGATCGGAGGGTTCTTTCTCTTGGCCTCCGTGTTTGCCCACAGCCAAATATCCACAAGACTTGCCGAATCTCCAAAGGTGTGTGTGTGTGTGTGTCTAGAGCAAATCTAGTGGGCAGGCATGGGCGATTTTGTGTAAGACATTGAGTGCTTCAACCATGCCCAGTGAACCTCAAAGACCTTCTCTGCAGCAAGAGTCAGGTCATAGTCCTGGAAAAGATCTGGATACCTCAGATGAAGTCCAATGATGTTTCGCCGGAAAATGAGCCAAGTCCAAACACTCGATTTGCATTCTTAATCTTTGCAACGGCTTCTTTGGCCTGAATCCACCTATGCTGACAAGCTTCTTTGCAGGATCGGCCAAGGAGTCTGCCACAGCCTGCATGATGACAGTGGCAGACTTGGCCTTTACCAGGGAGATAAATCGGATCCAAGACTGCCTGGTTCACCTTTGCCAAGTCTTCTGTCCAAATCTTCACCTCCAACACTGTGTGTCTTCAGAATGCTTGAGACTGATAGGATAGCTCCATGTCCACAAACTACAGTTTTGTTCAATTTCACAAGCAAACGCTGCATTGGACCAGTCATTGGACGCTGCTTCTTGAATCACCAAACTTGCCTTGCAAAAAGAACAAATAGACCAATCACTCAGTCCCCAACAACTCTGGACAGCTCACTTGGGCAATAGGTCCGGGCAAAGAAGGCCGCCTGCAAAGGAAAGAGGGACAACACATCCGGAGAGATGTGCAGAGCTTTGGTTTCCAGAACTGTATTGACACGTTGGTGCACTGATGTAAGCGCCTCGGGCAAGCGGCTGGCTTTGACGAGAACCTCCCACCCATGGCCCGCAAAAGCAAGGGTCCAACAGTCCAATAACATGCCTGCATTTGTGCTCAAGCCTCTAATGCTCGCTTGGTTTCACCCAGCAGCAAGTAGCATAGCACTGCAATGTTCCCAATGTTGCTTTCCTGGAAACAAGCATGTGGGAAACCCCAGTGTGCTGAGCAAGTGTGGCCACCGAGCGTTGACAGAAGAGACTTGAAGGAACGCTGGCACCTCTGCAAGCTTGCCAGTGTCCAGGACACCATCTGCATCGCCAACTGAAGTGTAGAGTAGAAAGAGAGCTCCAAGGTCCTGACAAAGCACTTACAGCAGTATCTGTCAAGGCCTGAACTCTTCCAGCAGTTAGCAAGAATGAGGCGTAAGGCCGTTAGTATGGATGCAGGAAAAGAAACAACTTGCAAACTGCAAGCAGGAGTTGGGAAACTGAAGGCTGATGAGCTGGAGATCAAGACCATTGTGAACACAACAAAGCATCAACCCGACGCACCCCAACACCTTTCAACTTCACATTCATGGCAAGCGTGCCAAACACTATTAACTACTATTAACCCTGCCCAACCCACCGGATGCTTCTTTGTTTGACATCATCATGATATAAATGAATCTCAGGTTCACTTCTGTCCCAACACAATGATGAGAGGTGTTTCGGGTTGACTGAAACAATCGAATTCGAACCTGAACAGCCTGAAAGTCTTCGCTTCACTCAAAAGGAAAGGGCCTTCGCTTCGCTGAAGCAACGCTTTGCCAAAGTGAAATCACCTGCAATGAGCTTTTGTTGGCTTCACAATACTTGTCTCCAACTTCAAGTCCATGCCAAACACTCGGCGCTGCAACATTCAAACAAACGAACCCGGCGCTGTCGATTTGCATTGCTAGTTCCTTGACTGCTACTGCCTTGCTCCAGTGCAACATCTCCCAAGTTCTTCCACTTGCCGCGGGGAGGCATTGCTGGGTTTGCCTGGCATGTTCAAGAATATCATCGGTAGTGTAAGAGAAAATGGCTTCGCGGCTTTACAGCCAGCAATTCTGTTTCAACTCCTCTAGAAATCACTCCATATTCTTCTGACGGCCGAAGCAAACAAAGTCAATCAGCATGTGCCCTGAAGGCTATTCAGAATGAAGGTCTGTGAATGTGCGTTGTTTTGTTTGGAATACAAAAAGCCCTTTGTTTGCCTTGGCTTTCTGTGCTTGGTTGCTTCTGCTCAGATGGCAACTAGCGCTTCCCAGAATGCTGGGGTTGCAAATGCAAACCTTTTATACAAGTCCACTAAGTAGCAGCTTCAGTCTTTTATTCTTGTGCAGTACCTCCTTTCTTTCCACAGTCAAGACTCCCCAAGCAACGTGTCGGTCTCAGCTTAGACCTCTTAGAAGGCTAAAACATCTCAAACAACGCAACATCATCTTCGCAATAGGCTGCAAGATAACAACACCGTATCAAAGATGAGGCGTGCAAAGCATGTGTGGCCATGGCCCGTAATTGCTTGTGGCATTCGTTGGCCTGCGCAGAGATGCTGACTATGATATCCGCGGCCATTTGCAGCTTGCCCAGCTGCGTCGCCAGCTCAAAGCGATGCTCATCGTCCTGGAAGGCCCCGCTCACAAAGACTGCACTTGATTTGGGTTGCAAGACACAATATTGGAGATTCCCGTTATGTCCATACAATTCTGGAGATTCCTATTGTGACCCGGCAATAGTCGCATGGAGTTCGCAGAACCTGCACAAGTGCAAGGCAAGGCCTTCGAGATCTGCAAAGCCTCCGCTTGGTAGCCCTGGTTCTCCAGAAACCGTGCAATGCGATTGTGCAATGACCTCAAAAAATGGATGTTGCATGTTGCTTTAGTCAGAAACTCCAAAAGTCATGAGTCCCTCTGAGTGCTCTGCTTGCTCTGCTCAATGCCCTGAGTGGTTTGGGCTTTTCTCGGCTGAGCTCCAGACTCGGGCAGTTGTGCAAAGAAGGTCTCCGCAGTTGGAAAGTCCTGCAATTTGCATCGTGTTTGGAGCAAGCGGTAGTGACATTGGTTCTAGGATAACGTTTTCGCTTTAGCAATAGTAGTAAGGGGTCAGTGACATTCAAGGCCTGGGGTGTATGAGACAGCTTTAGCGTATCTGTCGCGACAGTCTGGCTGTTAGTTCTTGTGAACAGCACATCCCCTCCTTGCGCATGATTGCGGACTGGTACTCTATCAAAGCCATGTGGAGGGTGAAAGGGGTTACCTGCAGCTTTAAGAAAAGAGGAGAATGTAGAGTTGGCTGAGTTTTGCAGTGCTGCTTTCAACATTCGATTGGCTGAATGATCGGCATTGAGCTCTTTGTCAATGAGATAAATCTTTGATTGCTCCGGCATGTAGCCCAGTAAGTACCTGGCTCAACCAACTGAGGAAGCATGGGATCAAAATGGGAAGATGGGATCCAATCTCAATTGCGAAACCTAGTTAGTTGTATCATTCAAGAGCACTGAACTCGGTCCAAATGTGCAAGGGTCTCCTGATCCACAAGCCCACGGACTTCCAGATTGCTCCAGGGATGCACAACGACACACATGCACTTGACCTGTCCTGTGAGCCGGCCACCAAACAGGTGAGGCGCTGGGCGTGAGAAATGTAGACCTTCGACAGCAACTTGGTACTTCTTTCAAATCACCCCCCCCCAAGTCTGTGATCCTAGTATAGGCATAGGTGTGTTGTAACATGTTGTGAGACTCTCAGGCTATGGCAAAGCAGTCTCCAACCCACAGGCCGCTTATCACCTGAAGGGTTGGAACTCCAAAAGTGAAAAAACCACTGAAAGGCCAGGCCATGACCGGTCGCTCTCGCTTGTAATTGGAGAAGGGCCTTGTCACTGATCTCATTCTGTAAATCGAAGGCTGCTTCAATCCCGTCCTGGTACAGCTTTCTCTTTTAAAGCTCGGGGGGGGTAGGGTGTAAGAGTAGGTGGTAGCTTACAAGTAAGTAAGCTAGTAGCTATTCAGTAGGCCGCTAACAGTATCTTGGACACAGGAGGGCTATTCAACTTAAAGAGCTCGATGTATGCTGATAGCAAAACCTCATAAGCAGGCGGACTGTTTTCTGAACAGGAAATACTCACATGTGTCATCTGTCCGTCTTTCTCAGAGATTCTCTTCGAAGCGGAAGGCCCAGTCAACCGCTGGCAACAACAATTCTGAGAGAATTGCGTCAAAATGTGCTGAAGGCAACAACTGTACACAAGCCATTGATTAAAATTATCAGCTTGACTTGGCCAAGCATCCTTCCTGCGTGGCTTGCCCACGAGCTGCAGAAATCTAAAACAAAGAACTAAGAACCTAAAAAACTCAAGGACTGGCAGCTTTAAATTGTTGCTCTGGCTCCGAAGCCAGGAGGATGTGCATCCTCCGGAGCAGCTTGTACAGGTGGGTGGGTCGATTCTGGTGCTTGCTCAAAGTGCTCGTTTTCTTGAGACACAAATGCCTTCAGCTCGCTCATGGCAGGTTTCGTTGGGACAGCAAAGTCCACCTTTTTCAAGTCATCTGCAGGCTTTGAAGCAAGCTGCTGTTGTCTGTTGGCTGTTGCTGCTCGTGACCGTTGCAGAAGCAACGCTGCAAAGTTTAGATTCAGCTTGGGTGAAGCTGCAGCGACTTTATGTACAAGCTGTGGAAGCTGAGATGGAGTTACTTTCGGTGGAACCACTGAAGATGGTCCAGTCTGATCCACATCCGGCACCACATCCAAGGACACAGTTGGAAAAGCTGTATCCGGAGGTGCAGCTGCAGCAGGCGCAGCTGCTGGAGGAGGAGCAGCAGCAGCGGAGACCTCTGCTTCTCCTTTATCCACTGCTGTGTCAGCGAAAAGGCTCTCCTGTTCAACCTGGGTCGCATTTTGCACGTCTGCTCCCTTTGGTGCCGGCGGCACCGGTGTGGGCTGAGTCAATTCTGGAGCAGCTGCAGCATCATCATCCTCTTTGGCTGGCGGTATTGGTGTTGGGTCACTAATGAAAACACAATCGGCTGCATCCACTTTTGGTGTTGGCTGCGTGCACCACGGAGTAACAATCGTTTCATACACAGCATTCGGCATGGGAAGTGGCTGTGACTCTGGTGGCGGAATTGGCACTTCAATCAGTGGAGTTGGGAAAGTGTCTGGCACAGGCTGCCTCTCCAGTACAGGTGGTTCGTAGATGAAAGGTGTAGGTTGACTCTCAGGACGGTGCTGACTTTCGGGCGGTTCCTCTTTGAGTCTCTTCAACATCAACTCTGTCTCCTCTTCAGACCTCTTTCGTTTCACATCATCGGATTCCCCTTTGACGTCCTTACTTGCATGTCCCAGAACGCCGCGTTCTGTCGGACCAACGCCAGGTGTCAAGTTTTTTTGCAGATCCTTCTGAGGTTCAGAATCTTTTCGAGCTCTGCAACAACAGCAGTGTCCACGGCCTCACAAGGCGCAAGCCCTCTCTACTTTATTTTGGCGACTGCTACAGTAGTTGTTCCACGTGTTTATGGGGACAGTCAATTAAATCCTGCCATGCTCCATGCAATACCGAGGTCAAATGAGACAGGATAACACAAGTCGGGTAGTGGATGTGCCTGTCTCAACGTGACAAGCCTTCAACCCAAATATTTGACGGGATCCGAACATGATGAGCTTCTGGGAGCAATCCCAATTTGGCACATAAACAGTATTCTTGATTACCCAACCAAATGAGAAGTCATTTCACAGAAGTACAGGCACAGGTAAAGCAAGTAGAAAGCAACATAGAAATCAATTTTCGCCCAAGCTGTGGCACCTTGCTCGACAGCTCCTTTTGTTCCCTCAACCTCGCAGCTTCTGAATATTGGCTTGGCCGGTGTCCGAGCATCTTGGCTGAGCTGAGATAGTCTATCTTGACGTCTCTCGCTTCTCTCATCCTGTGAGTTCTTTGGGTCAAAGCCAAAGCCTTGGGACTGGCTGAATGCAAAGCCTTGTGAGCGGATTTTTATCTCGCTCTTGGGCAAAGGGGCTTGAGGATCATCCAAGAGAAGCTTTAGGTGATTGGGTGGCAAAAACGCATCTCCTGACGATCTTGACGATTTGGCCATATCTTTCCTCTCCCTTGTCACTGACTTTGGAGATCTGAGAGGAATGCTTGCCATGCTGGTCTTGCGTTCAGCCTGACGACTTCTGGACCGCTCCGGAGCTTCAGAACGTCGCACTCTTTGGCTTGCTGCTTGCGAGGTGAGCATGCTTGGGGCTCGGCCGCCTAATCGAGCATAGCATTGGTTGCGCCACTCCAGGATCTTGTCTTTCGTCCAGCCTTGCTCAAACTTCATGTAGCAAGCTCTTGCTATAACTTCAGCTGCCCAACGGGAGTTGGCAGCAGCTGGCACAGTGGTCTGGAATGGAATTCGGCTGCCCCCGCTGCCAAGCCATTGAAAAGAAAAAAACCTTCTTGGCAGCTTGATACTTTACCGCAGAGTGTGCAGGATGCCCTCGAGGGGCGTCTTCCGGCAAATCTTTCAGATGACTTTGGGTGTCTTTCTGCTTGGCGCCAGAGCTGTTGGTGACCGGCGGACTTCCATAAAATTGGGTCCAGCAATCCAGGCAGTATGAGCCACCATCGTTGAGGTCTTTGAAGATCGTTGCTCTCACCCCACAATCCTCGCAGATCCCATCTGCCATCTGTTAGACATGACTGTTAAAAAGCTGCAAAGCAAGTCAAAGCCCAAACAGCTGCAGGGTACTTTGCAATAGATTGCAATAGCAAAGTGATTTTTAATACTGGCTGATTGACTGTGCACTGTTGTGCATCCTCATCCTGAGAGTGTCACCCAGCTTCATGCAACAACTGCGACCTTCTACTGTACTGCAAGCATCCTGCCTCGTCCACTGCAACACCAGAGACCAGCGCTGCTTGGACGGCCTCCTTGTCGTGCCTCCCGCAAACGACGTATGCAAGGACAAATTTGAACCGAGACGAGGGAAGAGGCCTCAGCACATAGAAGGAGTCTGGGCACATGAGCACCACATTGTTCCCATCTTCAGACCTTCCGAACTTACAGCAGCTCACAATAAGCTACTAGGAACAAGTGCATCGCTACTGGTAACAAGTGCCTTACTAGTAGTAACAAGAAGCTAGCAGCTAGTAGAAACAATATATAAATTAGAAACAATAAGCTTCGAGACAAACACCGCACAATATTCAAGAAGCTGCTTTGTTACACTGCTTGCTGCAGTAAGTAGGGAGCCAAATAACGTCTTTGGGCACCACATCAATGCGGCGAACCAGGCGGTACCTGAAAACGACCGATGTTGAGACTTCAGATTTCAGACCGAATTGGATCTGTCTCAGCTGCGTGCTCGGTCCAGTCGTAAAAGCAAATAAAGTCACCACCGCGGATTCCTAGCAGACGGCCTCAGAATCCATGGTCCATCGCCAGGATCTGTAGACGGCTTAGCCGTGCATTGAAACAGAGTTCTTATTTTGAAGCACAACAGGTTGATTTGCTTGTTCTTGTTTCAGATTAACGGTTCACACTCAGCTTGAGCTCAGCCTTCAAACACCGGGTCGCCTCCAAAAATCTCCTCGACATTGAATTGAGGCTTGAAGGAAAAGCTCTCCTTGAAGTCCTTTCGCAAGCTCGCAGAAGCTCAGTTGCTCCTATTAACTGGCTACAACACATGCTTTTGTCAAAGTCACCTGGCCTGGAAGACCGTGATCTTTCCGTTGCTGTCTCGAGTGGCATAGGCACCGGAGTGGGCCCAAACAAACTGAGCAGGCGCCGGGAAAGCAAAGCTACTATGTGTTCAACCTATTGAATGGGTGTGTTTTTGTCCATCTGTCGTTCTGGATAACTTCTGAAGAATACATGCTCTGATGCGCCTCCAGGGCAGGTCCGTACGACTTATTTCGCAGAGCCTGCACAAGAAAAGCACTAGATTGGGGCACATTTGTCACATTGAACACAACTGGTCATAAGCTGCCAATCGATCACTCTCAGAAATGAGATATCGCAGCTATATATATATATATATATGTAATGAAATATATAAGCATGTTGGAACCTGAGCCGTGTAGATGACAAACTCACCGTCGCCGCACACTGCAAACAGTCGGCCTAGAAGAACGCGGCGAGAGGTGAATTCCAACACTTCCAGATTTCATTGATTCAAAGGGCATCGGCAATAGGAGCAAGGGCGCTACTAGGGGCTCCTGGCCTTACTACTGGGAACAAGGACGCTACTAGGAACAAAGGGCATCGCTACTAGGAGCAAGGACGCTACTAGGGGCTTTCATTGATTCCACCCAACTAGTTCATGGCCGCGTGCCATTGGGATGGTGGGCGATGTACTGGGGGAAGACCTCTGCTGCACCCATGTCCTGCATCCAGCAATGACAAGTGTGCTGCACTACACCACTCTCGTTACTCTTCATGACAAAAACATCATTTATGTATGCATTTATGTGCATTCTATGTTTTAAAAATATATATATATATATATACAACCCCCTGCTCCTTCACGCTGAGGGGAACTTTCTCACCCTCTCGTGCTGTGACACCCTCATCCAGGAGCTTCAGGTTTGCGGTCTGAATCTCGTTGCCTTTGGCCTAGCACAATCATTAATTGCATCTGGCCTTGGGGGGGAGTCTCACTTCGCCAAATCAAGACAGCATCACCCAGATGATCTTACCAGAGTGCATCGATGCAACAGGTTCCTGCGCAGCGCAATGTCTTACCAGCGAGAACGTAATGCAGCCAAAGCACAACGCACGCACCTCACTTCCCAATTTGATGACTACTGTACCCTCATCATAACCAAGAGCTGCCTCAGCAATTGAAGCTGCAAAGGATGTCCAGTTAACGGAATGCCTATCAGTCCAGAATACGCTGAAATAGCAGTGAGCGTGCACTATTTTATCCGTGGACTATTCTATCGTGTTGCAGCTCCACAATGGAGCGGTGCTGAAGGAAGCACTATGTGCAGTCTTACAGGCGATTACTGACTCACGCCACAAGCATGATGCCTCCCCACATGTGTTTGTCTGAAGCGAAGCCAAAGAAAAGGACAGAGAGGCATGATTGCTCGAAGCTTTCTGAGGACTGAAAGAATCCATCATCTCATCATCCCACTCTACGGCTGCTGCTGTGTTGGATCCTTTGAGCACTGCAATAGACCACACGCGCTCCAGAAAATAGCTAAGTGTCGCCTTGTCAAACACAAGAACTTCAAACTCTGACGGTTTCATTCAGCTTCACTTTGGTCAGCCTCCAGTCGGTATGTGGAACCATGCCATATTCTGACAGTTCCATCCTGCCGCTCAAGAACAGTTTACAATGGTCACGGCTCACAGGTCTGCAGGTTCGTGGTATTGACTTCAACCAGTAAAACGAGCCACTACAATGGCAATGAATGCATTCCTTCAAGGAATAAATGCGGAAAAACTCAGAATCCCAGACTTCTCTTGATCCCCAGCCTCACTACCCGTCAAAATGATGGGCAAGGCAGGGTGGAAAAGCGCCTCGTAGATGACAACATGCTGTCAGCACTTGAGGTGAGTGTAACGTAGGCTAAAGGTTTGAAACATACACCACACTGCGTCTGTTGTCTTTCTATTCAAGCCAAGGTGCATATGAGACATTGTTGGTGTGGCCGCTCAAGGTCTGTATGCACCTGATCTGTCCCGAATCACCACAGCTCCACTTGGAACAAGTCAAGTTGCTGCATTGACACATTCTTTTCCATGTCATCTTGAAAAGGATTGAAACCCTGGGCACTGCTTCGTTTGGTAGTCCCAGATCTTGACAGTTCTGTCGTCGGACCTCGGTTGCAAAATCACAGTACAACTGCGGTAGACATGTTTGTCTTCTGTGGTCACTACCCAGAGATAATGTATGGTTTCTCACCACCCGGAGAGTACCTTAGTTTTTTTTTGCATGTACAGGCCTTTGAACATGCAATGCCAAAAGTTTTCCACAAGTGTTTCGCATTGTGCAATTCATCACGGTTTGAGTCAGTATGTATCAGAAGACAAAAATCAAGGCAGGATCCACGCCAGCAACCAAACGCACGTCAAAATGGGCTGCGACAGACCAAGGCACTCCACACAATTCACTCCGCGCTGATGTCCAGTCAATGTAAAGTGGCAACTGCTTGAACCACCTGAAAAATGAAAAACAAAATCAAGATGGAACCCATGAACCCGAATGCACACGCATATGCAAAAATAGGCGACCAAATGTTCTCACACCCTTCTTTGACACCCTTCAAGAAAACAAGAACAAGGTGAGCCCGCGGACCCAAAAGCACAAAGAAGCGCAGGAAAATAGAAAAACACACATTAGCAGGCCAAAACGAAGCATCAGCCCCCTCCAGGCTTCATGGCAACCATGATATTTCAAGCATTGCGGTTCGGGCGCGCATCCGTCCACCCCCGTCTGCCATATACACCCCGGTCCACCCTTTGGTCAGTTTTGAAAGCCCTCCAAAATGGTCATAAAACGATTGCAACATGGCTTCTAACAACCCTTCCAGGAAACGTGGAGCAGCATCAGCTCCCTCCATGCTTCGTTCATCTTCGTTCCAACCATGAAATTTGAAGCGTTGCGGTTCTGGCATGCAACCATCCTGCCGTTTCTGCAATGACTTGGGCTGTCTTCGGCATACATTGCACACATTCTTGACACCCAAGACCATCATATAGGCCGCGCCAGACAGTTCCACTCGCGCAATAACGTTCTTCCGCGAGGTAGCATTAGCCCCCCCATGCTTCGTTCTACTTAGCATCCCGTACGCCCGTCCACCCTCCCATCTCCATCCATAGCCCACGAAAAATCTCGCTCTGCCCCCCCACTAACGACTAAACTAAACGAGAACCCAAGCATCGGGAATTCTTTTCAGAAAAGCACGCGCATGCGTACTGCTGCGCCAGCGTTACAGTGCATCACACGCGGTAAAATGCTTTCGGGTCATTCGTCGTCCAGTTTAACTTTTTGGCATAGATTTCCGGCGGCGTGCGTCGTTGGCATGATCAGGGCGTCGATAGGGCGGAGATATCCCAGGAGGAGAGGATTTGTCGTTTGCTTTTCTCGAACAAATCTTTGCGGGCTTCGATCTTAAGAATTTACACCGGCATAGACCCTAGATAGAAATATCTCTGCAAGAGAAAACAATACGGTTTCCTTTTTAGTTGTACTATATATATATATATATATGTACATCAGGTGGCTGTTTTCAATCTCTGCAGCTAGTCTCCAACCCCATTGCAACCTGACTTCTGACAACCGATCCAGGAAGCATGGAGCAGCATCAGCCCCCTCCATGCTTCGTTCCAATCATCAAATTTCAAGCGTTGCGGTTCTGGCATGCAACAATCCTGCCGTTTCGGCCATGACTTGGCTGTCTGGCGCATGCATTGCGCACATTTTGGACACCCAAGACCATCATATAAGCCCTGCAACACAGCTCCCCTCGCGTCAGAACGTGCTTCCGCGAAGCATGGAGCAGAACTACCCCCGCCCATGCTTCGTTCTACTTGTGAACTGACCCGGGGCAGCCTGCAATGATGCTTGTGGTGCAACCGTATCCTCGTAACTAGCGTATCAGCCGCGCAAGATCACTCCACTCGTACAACGACATTCTGCCGTGAAGCATGGAGCAGCGTTGGCCCCCTCCATGCTTCGTTCCACTTAGCACCTTCCCTCCATCTTCCTTCCACCATGCACCTCCCGTCTCGCACCCCTCCCTCTTCCATCCCCAGCCCCGTGCACACCCACACCTCCCGCCTCCCGCCCCCCCCTTCCCCCCCCCCCCCACTCCACGGGTGTGTGCGCCCCCACCCCCCCCCGCCTCGCCCCCCCCCCTCTTCACTCCCCAGCCCCACACCCATGCACCTCCTCCTCCCTTCTTTCCCCAGCCCCGTCCACACCCATGCACCTCCCGTCTCGCTCCCCTCCTTCCTTCCCCAGCCTCGTCCACTCCCGTCTCGCCCCCCTTTCCTTCCATCCACAGCCATGCACCTCCCACACCCATCTCGCTCCCCTCCCTTCCTCCCCAGCCCCGCTTGCTACTGAGCAATGGCACCATTGCAATTTCACCAGCAAGTCGTGTGTTTGCCACTCAGTGTTGCTTTCAAAGTGTGAACTTCTTCAATGCGCCACACGAGCATCCCAGCACGGCAATACGTCCGAACAACACATGTCATCTGCCCACATAGTATATGCGCAAGCACGACAACGCCACCGCAAGTCCCAGCGAACCTGCTTCGGAACCCGCTTGCATTATGAGCATGTTGGCGTAGCATGCCAGCGTGACAACATGTCAGCGTGACACCGAGCAAGCACATCGAAGAAATTCAGCGTATCCGTATCGGCGTGGCAGTGGCAACCCATCACGCGCCAAAGAGACACAGCGTCTCTGCAAAGCGCTCCGGAAATTGTTGCTGCTCCGCAACCTGCTTTGGAACCTGCTCCAGACTCCGAGTGCTTCCGAACTTGTTCCGGAACTTGCTTCCGGCCCTGCCCCAAAACTTGCCTCCGGCACTTGCTCGGGGACCTGGGTTGAAAATTGCTCGGGAACTTGCTCCGGAACCTGCTGCTCCGGAACTTGCTCCGGGACCTGCTCCGGAACTTGCTCTGGAACTTGCTCTGAACCTGCTCCAGAACCTCTCCCGGCGCTTGCTCAAGAACCTGCTCCGCAACCTGCTCCGGAACTTTCTCTGGAACCTGCTCCGGAACCTCTTCCGTAATTTGCTCGAGAACCTGCTCCGCCGGGGCTTGCTCTGGGGAACCTGCTCCCGATCTGCCCCGAAATCTTTACTATGGCTGAAGGCCCCTGAGCTTTGCTGCTGGACACTGTTGAAGGACATTCTCAGGTGACATCTTGTAGGACACTCTTGTAGGGCGCATTTGTGCCACACTTTTGCTTAACACTCTTTTGGGACACTCTTGCACCACACACATGTTGGACGCTCGTGTGCGACGCTCTTGCTGGAGACTCTGTTGTGCGACAGAAACCCTTCTAGGGGTCTCTTGCGGAAATCTCTTCTAGGACTCTCTTGTGGGACACTCTTGACGGACATTCTTCTGGCGAGGTTTCGTACAGCGCAAGGCTTAAAATCGAGCGTTTCTTGCGCTACTTTCTTCAATAGTGATGCTTTCAGTCTTCAAGTGAACACGTCGCGCGAGATTTTCTCCAAGAGCAGTGCGTCAAGCCCTCAAGGCGAGCATTTCCTACGAGACGTGCTCCAAAAGTGCAGCGGGAAGGCTCGACAGCGAGCACATCACGTAGTCGCAGCCCTGCGAAGCAGTTTTGCAATCGAAGCTCCTCGAAAGAGCAGCAGCTGACATGACAATCCCAGTCGCACCCAGATCCCTGCAAGTCGCAGCCGAGGCGATCAAGAGCAATGGGACAGCAACGCGAAGTACTGACTTCACGAAACACTGCACCTGCGCAGCAGAATCATCCTTCACACTCTGACACTTCATGCTTCCATCAAAGACCTCCTCCAAATGCGTTCCACAATGGGAGAGCCTTATCGATCACATAGGCCGCAAACAGTTGCGAAGGTCGCGCGAGCAACGTCGCGCGAACAACGCTCTACCCTCAGACTAACTGTGTTCCACAACGCTCTACGGTGCGAACCCTTTGCTGTGTTCCACAGCCCACCTGCTCCACCTGAAACTCCCCAAACCTTGATGGAGCGATCCAGGGAGCACGAGCAAAAAATGTTTGTATCCTGTAGCACGAGACACAGAAAACAAGAAATGCCACAAGAAATATTTAGAGTGTCAATTCCTTTAAATTGCTGCAAGATCAAATCTTGCGCCGTCCGCATGTTCGGATCCTTCGGGTTCCATTGGCACATCATCACATAGTGCGCATGGCTCTCAAAAACCTCATCAACTTCACTTGCCAAAAAAGAACAAAACGTAGCTCGAGCATCTTGTCTTGTCTTATCATTTGAGTGCCAACGACAAAAGTTGCACGCAAAAATCCTGGCCTGAAGGTTCTGCCAGTTCTTGTCCCAATCCCACAGCCTCAGTCATTCGGTCCTGCTCAAAACAGTAACGGCATGTAACGGCTTTTGAGCTGTGCTTGTGACCAGGGGTGGTTAGTTTGTTGAGTACAAGCAAGCAGACCACAGGGAGTGAAACTTACACAGAACCACGATACTCCCTTCAACAGAAGAGCTTTCATCACTCATAAGAGCAAAAAGCAATCATACAAAGTTGACTTCCTGAGGTGTCTGCTTGATGGACATGTCGTCTGATGAGGACAGGAGGTAAGGCAAAGTGGGATGGATGGCGATGTACCGGATGTAGTCTGTGTGAGCCTCGCATGTTCATCAACAGCTTCCAAGGGGAACAAGAAGCTTCTTCTAACTCAACCCTGCCTCAAACTCATGTGCTTTTTCCAAGCTGTTGTAGTTGAAGACTCGAATCTGAGCAAGAGCTCTTTGTTTGGAATCAATGAGCGAGCTGGCTCAAAGTTGTAAGCACCGGACATGCATGTCATCGGAGGCAGTCGCGATCCACTGTTTGCGAGTGACGAACTTTGCACACCGCACTGGCAAATTGCAAACCTGCATTTTGAAGAGATCAAAAATGATTGGAAAACATAAAAACAACATCCCTGTAGCATGTGAAGTACTGGAGGCATTCGTCAATTGAGAAATCTTCCCTGCAAATAGCTCACCAAAGAAGGCACTGTCCAACCTCGAATTGCTTCACTAGAGTCTGGGTGTTGTAATCCCAAATGAAGATGTTGCCTGCATCACGTGGATTTGCATAATTTAGAATCCCCTACAACCGCAGCATTGTCTTTCTTTGGTTTTTTAGCGTTGTCCTGGTTTCTCAAATTCTGGTCTGTTCAAAACAAAATCAATTGAACATGGCTGTTTCACCTGAAGAAAACAGGAAAAGGCAGGGCTCTGGGGTGTCTTGGTCAGGCCGCATGGCATCATTGACAATAGCTCACAACATCCGTGCCTGAGTACAGAGCTGACAAAGTCCATGGCTCTGTAGGATGAAAGTCAACGCACTTCACTCGGTCGCTCCTCCAAATCAGAAGCATGTTTTGAGATGTAACTAATAGCTTCTTGCTACTAGTAGTATTGCCCTTGTTACTAGTAGCGATGCTTGCTACTAATAACCAATAGTTAATAGTCAATAGGAATGCCCTTTGTTGGAAAACGAAGCTCTAGAATTGTGAAGCCAAAGGCCTCGCAGAAAGCTTCTTCTTGATGTCTAGTCGGAGCGGCATCCTGAGGCAATGGGCTTAGTTAAAAACCCATGACAACTGACGAAACAAAAAATCCAAGAAATCACAGAAAATAACATCGGTCAACTTATGTTGTTTCCAAAAGCTTTGCTACGAAAGCTGCTGGCTTTCTGGCACTGCTGAGCCTTAGCTACAAAGTTTGTCCAGGAAACCGCCTCTGTATATATATATATGTATATCTATATCTATATCTATACATATGTGCGCTTTGAACAAATGTCTGCCAACAAAAACAACAAGCTAAGTTAAGCAAATTGAACATAACAAATCTTATGGTAGAACTCCTGTATGTTGGCACGTGAACTCTCGGTGCCCAACTCGCCAGCCGCAGGGAGCTCGGCCGAAAAGAGGCAGAGCCGCAGCCAGCTCTTTCAAAGCTTTAGCCAAAAAACATGCAACACGGGAGTCTTGGAAGCTTTCTCCATGAAAACATACTTCCAGTTGTGAAGGTAAAGTCTTGTGTAGAATGCACACATTCAAAACAAGTCTGAATCCGAACAAAACACATGAGTCGACTTGCCTTTGGAGGAACAGCCTTCCTGGCATACAAAGACAGAATGTACTTCCTGTCACACACCTTCTCTGAGAAAAGAGCTATGGGGACAAACTCGAAGATTCCAAATCAAGAGAGTGGTTGCACAAAGCGAGACAGTGCTGCACAAGGCCGGGGACCTTTGGCTGCGCCTGGCCAGGGGCTTCTACCCGATTCTACCCCTACTACTTCTGAGCATTGTCCACATTCTCAGGCTGCGCCAGCTGCGCAACCCTTCAGTTGTAAAGGCTTCCTCTTTTCCCTTGCGTGCAAGGATGCTAGCGCGCCAGGGCTGGCTCTCGCTCACTTCAGCTCATCAATCGCAGACCAGTAGGAAAGCTCTTCAGGCAGCCAACTCTGTCTTGTGATCTTCGAGTCCTTCCCTTTTTGCCATGCTCCTTGGATGGTCGCAAAAATAAAGGGCTCGCAAAAGAGGAGCCAGTCTTGAAGGCTAGGGCGGCATTGCTGCATTCCAATGGACTTCTTGGTGATCTCAACAGCGGGTACCTTTTGGTGCAGATTTCTGACAGTATCAGCACCACAAGGTTGCATGTCTGAATGGATTATCCTCTGGTCTGGGCGCACACGCGACCGAGACCGTCTTCAGCTCACTTTCTGGTGCCACCCTGGCCAGGAGCTTTTGGACACTGGTGTCATTCTGCAACGCAAGCACATGCTGGGGGACCAAGACTGGTGGCACATAGCCAGGGCCCAGGGCTCCAACCTTATTGTGTATGTGTGGATGCTAAGACGATCGAAAGAATGTTAAGAATGAACTGCTTGCAGCAGTGAGAAGGCGTCCTAGCAAGTAAGTAGCGGCCTACTTAATAGTTACTAGCTTCTTGCCCCTTACTGTACATACTTAGCTTACTTTCTAGCTCGTATCAAACCCTACCCGCCCCCCTAAAGAGAAAACTAAAGTAACTAAAGAGAAAAGCAAAGAGTTTTTGCTGCTTCAAAGTGCGTAAGGCATTTCAGGGTCAAAGAAAGGCTTAGCCTCTGGCCAAGCTCTTGCCAGCTGGAGCTAGTGTCGTCACCTTTGGGGTAGCTGCTTCTACGTCACCTGCTGTTCTGAGCAATTCAAATCGTCGTAGATGAACAGATTGAACGGAGAGACGGAGAGGTGTTGTGGCAAAGCCTTTTTTTGCTCTGGCATGAATCGGGTGAGCAAGAATGGTGAATTCACCAATATGTCCAATGACATTACTATGATGATTCAGGAGCATCGACAGAAGACCTGAGGATAACATTGTGCAAGAACCACCAGAAGGTAAAGCAATACAGCAGGCATGGCACTTGCGAAATGGTACAGCATCACATTTGCAGCTACGTCGCTTGTCATTGTCATACCTGGCAATGCTTTGATTGATTGTCCACCACATGCCTCCAGCAATGACCAAAAGAATTCCAACCTTGGTTGCCATGGATAACAAAAGGACTCGTAGAGCTTCAGATACATGAAAATACTGTATACTCGCATAAAATACATGTATACATATAAATATATATACATATTTATATGTATATTAACACCGATATACTGCCAATCTTTGCTTTCAAGCAACAAAGGCCAAAGGCCTCTGAAAGTCGCTGTCATTGAAGAAGAAAATGCCTTGGTGGTACATTGTAGCTCCCTACACTTGCGCTTCGTCCAACCCTTTTTCGCACGCAAAAATGATGGCTTCTGCTGAGGCACCTTGAATAACACTGAAGCCACTGGACACGTTCTGGATGACCATGGTGGCGGTCGCAGTGTCATTCTTCACCAGGTGGAGTGTTGCCCAATGGCCAACGCTGAAAGTAAAGAATGAAAGCACGAGCATCATGAAAATTGAAGGATCATTCAACCATAATTTCACGGATTCCTGCAGGTTTTCGAGCTCCATGTTGCTCATGATACCCGAAAGTCCCAGACTGATGACGGCGTCGGCCATGGTCAACAGCGCGATGGGGGACTCTTTTGTGCGATCCAGCAAGAACCGTTGCGTAAGTCTGTATGCCACCATGGTCGAGACGAACAAGGTGGAGACCTCCATCCCCAATGTATTGAAATCTGGATATTGCAATGCAAAGATCGTGGCTCCAAAGACCTTCAGAGACAAAGCGGCCTTCGAGGCAAAGCTGGTGAAGGCCGATTCAGAACCTCTTTTGGCCAAGCATGGTGCCATGGCCACTTCTAGGATCAATCCGAAGACTGGGGCTAAATTCCCGAAGACTGTCCTTTCGGACAATGAGCAATAATTTGCCTCCAAATGGTCTGCCAATTGAAACACACCTCGGCAACTTCAGACAGGCATGGAAGGCGTGGCCGTCGAACCCTATGTGTAGAAACACCCCCAGCTTGGTTGAGTTTCGAGGCGTGTTGCCAAAGTTGACCTTTATATAAAAGATTTCAAAAGAAACGCGTCCAATCCTTTCAGAGTGTCCAAAAGCCACTGCAGCAGGAAGCCACAGTAGGAGCTCATTGCACAACACTCTCAAAGGCGGCCTCACGCATATGATGCAGTGTAGGAGAAATCTAACTGTTCCTGCTCGAAGCCACACTAGACAAACTGTAGCCTATCTGAAGCTATAATTCTACAGACCAGCCGGCCTTGCATGAGTACTGAAGTGCACCCCTGTAATGCCAATGCCGAAAAAGAGCCTGGGCTTCAAAATGTCTTGAGCAGAGAATACAATACGCAACCCAAAACTCAATAATGCCATAGCTCCGCCATCTGTGTCAAGTACGCACATGTCGGGTTGATGTGGCATTTGGGGTGAATCTGCAAGGGTAAAACACCACGTGTCTAAACTAAGTAACCGTGCTTACCAAAATGTATACAGCGGATACTTCTGATGTTCTCTGGGAAGCATTGAGAAGCACTGCATGGCCGTCAAGGTCATCGGTGCTTTCATCAGCACCGACAGGGACTGATTCACCAAGACCGTGCCCAAGTTCAGAGCAGCCACAGTGATCCTCAGGAATCGATTTCAGCAGTTCAGTAACTACTCTCAAAAAGCGGTGGCTGGACAATCTCCACACTCGTGTATACATAGCAAAATTTTAACAGCAGCTATGTGCCACATGGATGGATGTCGTGAATGAGACAATTGCGAAATAGGCAAGATTTATCTGACCAGCCGGATCCAGCCGGTGATAGCAAGGAGGGACATGGAAAAAACGATGAAAGCAGGAGCACGGGACGATTGAAAGGGACAGCAAATGAGTAGAGGAAACAAGAGGACAAGAATGAAGAAGAAAACTGCAATCAGCACATGTCAATAACAAACTTGTTGCTCTTAACTCTCAAAACGTGAGGCGTACACTGCTAGCTGGCAAAACGAATTGCATTGGCATTGCCCCGGGGGAACAAAAGTATGGAAGAATTGCACTCTCAGGCTCTGCAAAATGAGCAAAAAGAGCCTATCATGCTGAGCGCCACGGCTGCCTGCATGACACCCATGTAGCTTTGGCTCATCGACCCTGCTTTGACAATCTGCAACTGAAGTTACTCAAGGCCGGGAGGCGAAAGTTTCGCCAATTCTCGACATTCAGAGACCACTGCAGCACAGGCAAACACCGGCTGTTTTGCTTTGTTTCCTTTACAACCAAAGGCCTGCGTAGAGGTAGTACAGCCATGCCATTGAGAGCGGCAAATACAGGCAAATAAAAATCTTGATGACATCTTTCCTTGACTGCATGCATTGCACTTGGCCTTCCAAAATTTGGCCCAGCACAAAAACTCAGCCAAGTTACGGTTGCGCAATTCGCACGGTTACATCAAGTCCAGTTTCCTTGGGGCTGTTGTGTGGCTTGTTTCCAACTTCTAGGACATATGCAGTGACCTTTTTTTGCTTGTAGTGGCAATTTCGCAGCCCATCTTCCACATGATTTGCCAAGTTGCATTGTCATTGGTGTACTTCGCATGTGCAAAGATGGTGTGCTCTTCCTGCTGTGCGGGATTTCTTTGACCTATATGTGTGGCGCTCTCCAAAGGAAAGCCAAGCATGCCCATGGAACAATTCACTCAATCTTTTCTGAGGACCGCATTTTTTACGCACTTCGCGATTCGGACGATTCTGACGATCGAGCAAGCAAAGGGCTTGCCTAACACCTCTATCCACAACTCTAAGGAGGCTCCTGAGTTTGATTGCCTGCAGGTGCTGTCATTCCTGATGCATTTCCTGGGAAAATGTTCAGTTGAACAGAATGCCAACATCCGCTCCCTTGCCCGAAAACTGGGATTCGAAGGCTCAATTCTCAAAAAGGGACATCGGATCGTCAAGGAAAAAATGTAAAGAATCAAGATCTATCTATATATATATATAGAGATTGATGACTTAAACTATCTTAAACTCCTGCGTTTATCAGTGTCACTTCCAGTGAGTTCATCACTTTCTTTGCAGTGCTGAGGATCCGCTTGTCTCTCCTTGAGCAGCATTGAGATGAATCAATGGTGCAATGCTG